CATTAGCTCGGAGAGATCACTGTGCGACGTTTAATAATAACTTCCGTTGCACGTTACACGGAGTTGAATCATCCCGCATTCCTTCCAGCGATTTATACTAAACGGTATTCTCTTCTTCTTGATTTTAGAATCCCTTCCTACTCCGAAACTTCCTAAGTATTTTCATTTTTGTTAAGTATGCAAAAAGCGGCTGTATCTAAAAATACTGAAGAGTAAATATTCGAACCTTTGGTTTTCTTAATTTCTCGGTTACGAATTGAACGTTTTAAAAATGTGCAGAAATAGTTCGAATCCTATAAGGAGAAACTATCGAGGGAGAAAAGTAGGTCAAATGGCAAAAGAAGTTAAATTCTTACTTTGACACTCTGTATAGTTGCATTTGCAACAGTAAAATTTTTCATTTTATTTATTTTATTATTTATTATTTTTTTATAAAACTGGTTTTACCAATTTTTCCTTTGTGTTTAATATTTTAATTTGAATTTGACATGAAGATAAAAAAGGAAAAGACATTGTTTTTTCAAATAAATAATTAAAAATATGATGTTTCATAATACACCATGTAATTTTTTAAAAATATTAATAGATTAATAAAAATAATTCAAATAAAGATTTAAATAAAAATTTATAAAAATTTTGTTTACATTAATCTATATTTTAATTGTAATATTAAAATAAAAATAACAGATACTTTAGAAAAGTCAGTTCAATCCTTTCTCCAGTTACAAAATCAGTCAAATGTATTGTATTTTAATAAATAAAAATTGCGTATTTCTCATCCCATATTATATATGTTTTGTTAATTAAATAACAAATATTTTTTTAATTAAAAAGAAAGCTTTTATTATTAGCTTGAATCAAAAAATTATACAAGTTTTTTGCCTTTCGTAAAAAAATTTCAAGCGGCTACGCCTATTGACAAAATACAATTGCAAATCGATTAATTATACATATCGAAAGAGCGCATCGAGAAAACGAGCCTCGATTTCCCACGCTCGATCGTTATAACGCGGTATATATACTTTCATGTTTTCCTTGTTTCCTCGAAGACACTCGCGTACTATTCCAGATTTATAAACTTATGATTTCCGGAAGAATACGCGGCCGTGTCTCGCAAAGTGAACAAATCGATCGCGGGTGCAGGAAAACAAGAGATCGCTAAAGGAGCGATTTTCCTTTCGCGCTGCTCACCGAAAAAAAAAAACCGGTCCGTCGCGCGCGCGCGCCACGTAGAAACGAGAGAACGTGTCAAAAATCTCACCCAGGCTCGTATTCCCTTCGTAATCTCCTCGTATCAATATGTATTTATCGAGATACGTGCCCGTGCCCGGAATTTGATTTCTACCGACTTTTCCGCCGGCGTTCGTTTGAGGCGAGAAAATGATTGCGGTACGCGACGACCGTATTGATTCCCTGCCTTGACTCCATTTTGAGATACTCGAGGTAAGAAATGATGTAAGAAGGGAAACGAAAGATAGAGAGAGAGAGAGAGAGAGAGAGAGAGAGAGAGAGATGAGGGAAGGTAGGGGAGGGGAAGGGGAGAACGCCAGAGAATTGCAAAATGTCGAGGATGATTGATTATTTTCTCTCTCCAGTTATCGGCGCTAAGCGAAAAGCGCGTGATGTAGCGCGCCGGGGATGAGTCCGTTATTATTCGAGAGTCACCATACGCCTTTCGCGAACGCGGCGGGAGCTATCAAAAGTTAACGCTATTAATGAGATAGACGCGCGATAAACGTGTGTTTCATTTCCGCGCGGGTTCGTGTGAATTTCGCGAAATACGGAGAAGGGAGGAAGAGGGGGCTACCGAAAATTCACTCTAGATCGAGAAGCCCTCCTCCTCCCTCCACCTGTCCGCTACATGTACGTGTCACACAATCGTATTGCGAAATCACAAAGTTGGGACGGCGAGTCCCGCGTGCCAAATAGATAAGTTGCGCGCAATAAAAATGCAAAGAACGTCTGGTCGCTGATTGCCTCGAATACGAGGACGAAGGGATGAAGGAGGGGGGGGGGGAGAGGGAAGGGAAAGAGGTAAGGGTATACTTTAATTTTCAGACTTGCCGCGGGGTGATACATCCACGTCCGTTTCGAGAAACGAAACTGGAAACGTAAATATGCCGCCGACAGTGCCTGTTACCTGCCACCATTAAAAGTCTCCTGACATTACATCTGTTAAATATTGAGTGACACAGAGTTTGCCAACTTAATTAATTAATTTACTTTTAATCTATATGTTCATTACTCCACGTTGTTTTTTTTTATCTTTTCTACACCTTCCACATTCTCCTTTCCTCTCTTTTCCTTCCACGTATCCTATTGCCCTTCTTGCATGGCACTGCGTGTGTCTTCCGTTATAATACAATATTTTTCTCGTACAGTGTCCCTTTATTTTCTTTGAGAAAATATATATTTTCCGATGGAAAATTATTTGCTACGCTATCGCGAAAAAAAATGCCGTTTTCCATGATCAACCGAAATTGAATCGCGTCGCCGTGTTATACAGAACACGCAAAAGATATTTTAAGATAACTCGAAAACAGCAAAAAAAGTCCGGAACTTTTTTCCTCTCCCGCTCTCTACATTCTCTTGGCTCATCTATCCTTCCAGTGTCCTTCCGAGAATTCGGGTCGTTCACTCAGTACAAAAGAGTGTGAGTTTCCACACCGGTGTACGGCCATCTTCCTTTTTTTCCTCTTTTTACGACGACAGGGATGCTGCAGCTACTGTCTAATCTGGCAGCTCGTTTCATTTCCCTGGCGATTTGTCCCGCGGTGCCACCTCAGAAACGTTAAATCCGCGGAGGCAATTTGGATATTGCCTACGTCGAGTGTTAGCTTCTGTTGGTCGTGTGAAAGTCACCGAATGCAGAGAAACAGAGAGAGAGAGAGAGAGAGAAAGAGAGAAGAGCAAAGCGCTCAGAATAATCGGCTGATAAAGCGGACATGCGGAATAAAGACGATCGTTCGCGGCAACTTAAATTCGAGTAGCATTCGCCTTTTCCTTATTTTTTTTCTTTTAATTCTAAGTTATATTTCCGCGCGTTAGAGCGTGACAAGGCACGTCGGGGGATGATAGAGTACGGTCGTAATACTTTTGTTAAAAGATAGATATCTACGTCCCCTTGCACGCGCGTGTACAAAAGGATACCGCGGGATGCGCTTATTTATCGAGTATTCGTGCCGCGTCACGTAGCCGTCGTCGAATAAAAGAAAAAAAAAAGGATCGAACCGCGCGCTGTGTGTATCGCAAACAAGAATTTCAGGTTACGAAGCCGCGCGCTCCGGTTACGAAGTTCGTCCGCGGCGCTACGGGTACGTCCCAAGTTTCCCACAACTTCGGACCACTTGACATTATCTGTTTAGGGATGTCGTAATCCACCAACAGGCGTGTGAATAAGCAGCGATAATTAGCTACCCTCCGCGATAGTGCTTAAGAAACTTTGGGGACATGCACTTACACATTATACCGCCCTCGGTGCGACGCGGCGTGGCACCGCGCGGCGTGGCCCGTCGAAATATTTTCAAAGGAGATTTCACTGTCGCCCGGTAATGAATAGGGGGTAATGGGATAAAATTTCCACCCTCCAATATTTTTCCATTAATCTCTCGCCGCCAGCGCGGGGCGCGAGGTTAAAAATAGCGGATGACGTTAAATTATTACTCATTGTCGATCGCGGACAGGAAGTTATCTCGGTTATTTCATTGTATAAACGTGCATATGTATATCTTGAAATAGAAGTTAGAATAGAATATTTTGGAAATGGAAGTCCTTTGAATGTTGTAACTTAATGAAAGGAGACCTTTGGAAATGACCCAGTTTTCTCTCTCTCTCTCTCTCCCCTCTCTCCTCTGCAAAATGGTGAAATGGTAATAATATAGTCGAACCTCGATAATTTGAACCTCTACAACTCGAAAATCTCTATAAGACGAAAATTTTGTTTATTCCCATCCACTCCACTGCGGAAAACCTCTATAAATCAAAATAAAACTTATCGTAACTCGAATTATTTGTCAGATATTATAGAGGTGTGCGAATAGTTTGAATTCGAATCGAATCGAATTGAATCACGGTAAGATTCGAAATCGAATAATTCGAGAATTTCGAATCAACAATGGTTAGATTTCGAATCGATCGCCTATTTTATTTGCTTTATTTATATCTCCCGCACGACCAATTATTCTTCTCTAATAAATAAGTAAGTTTTTTTTATGTATGTAATATATCCATATATGTAGATTAATAAAATATTCGAAAATATTTTAATTATTCGTGTATACACATATTATTAATTATATATTTTCTAATTCAAAATGTCACATAACATCCTTTGTAATGAGATGTAAATTAAAAACAGGTCTTCAATTTGTTTAAATCATTGCGTAAAATAATATAAATCGTAAATTTTGATGTTTATTACGTTTAAATTAACATGTAATGTAAATCTGGGAAAATTTAATTTAGATTCGATTCAATTTGATTCGACCACCCAGATGCTTGATTTGCACACCTCTAGATATTTAGATGCATTATTTTACCTCTGCAACTCGAATTTAAAGTAGCCAAATCTCTACAAGTTGAAGTTCACCTCTATAAGTCGAATTTTTATTGTCGCTGCCTCTATAATTCAAAGTTGTAGCTATATGTAACCATGAGTAATAGCCTGGTATTTTATTTTATAATTACATTTATTATATGTACGCAATAAATAATTTACTGTCAAATACTTATTTTTTTTCATTCAAAAGCCATTATAATCGGAAAATTATAAACTATCGTACAAAACCTTCAAAAGTCAAATTTTCATATGTTAACCCTTTTTTACTCGAATTTCGATAACTTTATAACTTGCAAGGGTTTTTCTCTTCCCTTGAGATTCGAGTTATCGAGGTTTGACTGTACCTGCTATATATCTCTCTCTGCACTCTCTTTCTTCCCGTCTGTCATTAAATCACATGAGAGCTGGCGCCGTTAAATCAGTCAAAACAATCATGTTTCAGATTCGACGAACAGCGCGACGGGCTCGATTTTCGTAGCACCAGTTGGGAATCAGACTGCCGCGATTGGTCGCGAGGTCGTCTTCTCTTGCAGCGTTCGCAACATAAGCATTCGTAAATACAAGGTAATGATACACCACGGGTAATGGGTGAACGTAAACACAAATGGGATACGTCCGGATTAAATTCGCACGCATTTGATGGCGCGTTGATGGTACTTATCCCATAATGGGATTTCAACTGCGCGCCAACCGGTCGCGCGCGCGTTTGGAATACCGAAGAGCCGTTTTTATGATCGTTTGACTCTTCCGCGGCAGCATCTCGCACGGCACTGAAAATTCCGGTCTCGTGGTTTACGGATGGATCCCATCGACGCCGCGAGAGCTCGAATTAAAAAAAGAAAAAAAAGAAGAAAAAAAGAACGCCAAAGCGCAGTGCTGTGCGGGCTTTTGACGTAACCGTCCGGATTTGTCGCGACGGGAACGGAAACGGGAGAATGTGCGAGAGCCGTGTGTGCAGCAGCGGCAACGATGATAGAACGCATCGCAACAAATGTCGGCCGTCCTGATATCGCAAACGTAAGGTCACGTAGCGTTTCGCCGAGGACGTGCTACGCGGACGAAATTGAATTGCCGCGCGAGTGAAAAATTCGCCATAAAAGTAACTCCCCTTTTTGTCGCCGCCGACGACACGCGCTTAATCTTCATATCGTGTCGCGCGCGCTCTTTCGCCATCGGAAGTAATATAAAATAAAGCCGGCGCCGCGGGAGGAGTAAAACAAATCGTGGTTAGATCGAGTCAAATTGACTTCGCTGCAGCGGAACTCTCGTCTCGAAGCTTGTTACGAGGTGGACAAAGCAACGTGAAAGTGTCGTTTTTCTCTTGCGCCACAGGGTGCGCGCGCGGAGGGTATAGAATCGCTCTTTCTTCCATTCGTAATCCGCTAATCCGCCGAGAGGTCATTCTCGCGCTCTTCGATAACATTTAGTAATAAATTTCTTCATCAGAATGTATTCCAGAAAAAAGAGACGCGCGCAAGCGACGTGAGCGACAGAAGGGGAAAAATATTTAACGGAGCGAACGCGCGTCGTCGGTCGACGGATTTCATCCGTAAAACATTCTTTATAAAATAAGAGAATGTACGTATTCTGTCTAAGGGGAAACGGTTATTCCGGGCGGACGGGACTGAATTGAGATAAGCCGAATGGCCCCGGATGCTAAGTCTAAGTTAAGACTAGTATTTACCACCAAATCTCTCGGCGCCATTCGCGCACCGTACCACAATACCGTATGGCATAACCATTTTACGCCGTCTCATGTAATCCCCGTCAGTTGTCCGAGAATCGCTCATAGAATATTATTTTCTTTCGCGCTTCATTTTCTTTTTGTCCGGAGGGATACCGATCTACATTCATGAATATATTTCCGTAATCACTCAGGAGTTTGCGAACATCTTCCTCAAATCGCTCAAATCGTTTCGCGTTTGCCATTACGTCGCCATTACGCTACGTTAATTCTTTCTTTTTTTTTTGCGTTAATTAAAACTTATTGCCGTCGGCGTATACGAATATCTCTTTCTCTCTTTTATTACGTGCATTTCAAATTGTCGGAGCTAGAGTTAATTCTCATAATATCCTTTTATTTTTGTTTTACAAACCTCTCTCCTTTTGCTTCCTTTTTCTCTTCCTCAAGTTCATTTTTTACATCGCGCGTCGTCTTACTCGGTTTAATTTATACTTTCTTGTAATTACTTTGTAACTAGTTTTCGCGCGACTATACATATTACTGCCCGCGGTTTCTTTTCTGTGTATTTTCGGCCGCCGAGAAAGAGGAGATATTGTATCCTCCAAATAGAGCATATAAAGGAAACACCGTCAATCACATTCGATCGATACCACCATTCGACGAAATGACAGTTGCATACGCATTGCGACGCGACGCGTCGCGGGGGCCTTTCCAGGTTGGCTGGCTGCGCACCTCGGACCAGACGATTCTCTCGATCCACACCAGGATCGTGACGCACAATGCACGTATCACGGTCACCTACGAAAGCGGGGCGAGCTCCGGGTCGTCCGCCGGCGCGTCCGGCGGCACTTCGGGGGTGACCGGAAGTAGTCAGGCCACGGAGGAAATCGTCGACGGTACGTGGCGTTTGCACATTCGCCAGCTGAAGGAGAGCGACAGGGATTGTTACATGTGCCAGATCAACACCAGCCCGATGATATCCGAGCTCGGTTGTCTCGACATACATGGTAAGTGTTATATCTTATCTCTTGTCGCGGCGCGGTGGCAGCGTCTCGCATTATATGCGTCACGCCGCGTTCTACCATCCAGGGAGTAAGGAAATCTTGCGTGTAATGCACTTTGGTCTGCATTGCAGTTGTAAATCCCCTAAATGCAGCTCTCTGAATTTAGATTCACGCAATATTCATGAACTTTCCGTGGCGCATTGTCTTTAAGGATGTATGTGTCACATGTCAAAGCTTTATCAGAAATATAAAAATTGCATTGATTATTCCATTATTACGTCTGAGCATCTGTATAAAACTTAAGCACAATTCTTTCAATTATTAATTTATAAGTTATTTGATTTGTTGTTTGTACGGATTCTTATACAATCGCGTTTTCTAATGCTCTACTCATTTGCAAATTTAATGAGAAAGTAGCATTATGAATTAAAAATAAAACTTTTTGCATATATCACATATTAATAAAACTCTAATAAACATTCGGGTAAAAGTTCATTTTAATCAATTTATTTGTTTAAAAGTTATTTACCTAAAATTACAGCAAAATATGGTTATTGTGGTACATAAGCTATTGCAAGCAAAATTATTTGTTATTTTATTTTTTTGTAGTTGATTTTAGAACGTACATAACCGAAATTTTACGTAAAATTTCAACTTTTTCCACTTTTTCGTAATTTTCTGTCGTTTATTTTTTTTTAGCTTTATACTGCCTAATATGTATATGCAACACCCTGTACAACCCAAATATCTTTAACCATGCTACCAAGCATATATTAACCATAGACGATTGCTTTTGTTTTGGCACATATTTAAATATTGAAAGCAAGACTATGATTAACGGGATACATTTATATTTGTCGCTTACATATTTCATTTAGTAGGACACGTTAATAACATGAAATTTAGCTCTAGGTACTCAACGAGATATTTGTCATACTTGAAAAGTATTTTCGGTATACAACACCGAACTAATCTAATAACGCACATTACAGAACATAATTGATGTTGAGAATTAAAGACCAGGAATTTAATACGCAGACTCCCTTTGTGTAGTTCTAAAAATTCTTTAGAATATTAATTCTAACGGTAATTATTTTGTTAACGAATTGTATTTCTCTTCATTTCTCGCCGTGCTTGCGCATAATCTTTCTCGAAAGGTATCAATTTTAATTATATGCTTCTTAAACATCAAAGACGATGTTGCGAACTCTACCGAAAAGTAATGCATAACATTAGCGTTACTTAAACGTTTACTTAAGGAGCACGCAAATCGATACGCGAGGAACGAGAAATGGAGAGAACATCGCGTATGCAAAACCTTTGACTTTGCCCGAACGGACAAACGAACGCACGAAAAAAACACAAACGCAAAAATATAAAACACAAAAGCACCCTCCCGATAAAATTACCTCTTCATCTCTCGTCCCCTGTCGCAAACATTCTACTTAAGCGGACCTATTCTCTCCCCTCGCATCGCGTCCCGCGGCCTTACCTAAACGCGCCTCGAGGATGCTCGTTCTTTCAAAGACGTTCCAGCGAAGTGCCGGTTTTACGTAATGACTTTTATAAAGTACTCACGCGGGAGGGAGGAAAGGATAGGTGGCCGTTTACCAATTTACTGATATGACCCGTTTGTGCCCCGTAGTGCCGCCCGACATCGTTTATGGGGGTGACACCAGCGCCGATCTGGCAGTGGCAGAGGGTGACAACGCGACCTTGAGCTGTCGCGCGACAGGACACCCACCTCCGAGAGTGTCCTGGCGGCGGGAGGATGGAGAACCCATCATCATAAGGGCTTCCACGGCAGGTAGGAGACTTCATTGGGAAATTAAATTTCCATCCTTCTTCTATTTAAACAAGATACTGACGGACTCTTGTTCGATTAAAATTAAGAACAAAAGAGGCTAATAAGAGTCAAGCGCGATACTTAGTGCGCAAAAAATAAATTTTTAATAATATTTATAAATGCATAGACATCTAGACGTTTTAGCTCAGATTCGAGCCATCTTCAGCAGTACATAATCTCAAATAAAGTATCATTCTTCACACACATGCCAAGATAACTAATTATCCAGTGCGTGTCTATCATGTTCGGTTAGTAGACCGAACATGATAGACACAAATCAAAAAGTTTCACACTTGGCCCAAACTTTAAGATCATTCGATCTACTAACCGAACATGATAGACACGCACTGGATAATTATTAATCTTGGCATGTGTGTGGAGAATGATACTTTATTTGAGATTTTGATTAATACTTATAAAAGTATTATAAAAAATTTATTTTTTGCGCATTAAGTACCGCGCTTGACTCTTATTAGCTTCTTTTGTCCTTAACTTCTTCTATTCGTCTAGCCCAGTCGATCGTTACGAAGTAAAAGAGAAGATTCTCCAAAAGTATACTTTTATCGCGAACATCTTGTAAACAGAGATTCATGAGATATTGTTAGAGCAACAATGAATTTTCCTTTTTTAAGAAAAAAGGAAATATAACAAAATTGGCCTTGATGTCATCTTATTACAATACAGTATATGTACAGAATTAAGAAAGTTACGTTCTTTATAAAAATAACTCGTTAATTATTGTTACCGGACTCTTTTTTGAAAAGTAACTCGTTATTCGTTACTGATTTAAACAAAAGTAACTTATTACCGTTAGAAAAATTAAAGTTGTAACGAGTCGTTACAACTTCCATTACTTTTTCACCGAATGATTTCGATGATCTTTTGATGATCTTTTTTCTCAGAATAGCATCTAATCGTTTACGTCGCTAATTGTCTAGTTTCACACGAGAGCTGTAGTGCTTATCGCAATATGATTAAACGTAACATTCCCTTCCTTTAAAACGCGCTCATGTACGTTCCATTCATATGTATTGTACGTGTACAAATGAAGTAATAATTATATTTGTTATCGTCACCCACAAAACGTAACTGCGTTGCCATTAACGTTATAAATAAATAAGGAAATGTAACGTCATTATCCATTTGTTACCGAAAAAAAGTAATTATAACAGTAACAACGTTAAAAGTAACGCGTTACTTTCCAACCCCGTGTAAATACATTATCATAACTACAAGGTGCTATTAATCAATTTTTTTAAATTTAAATTTGCGACATAATTGCGGTCAAAACATAATATCGATATTTCTGCAGATTTGCAATTAAGGGAAGGGGAGACATAGTGTCACTTTAAATTTCTTCTCTTTCCCGCGTCTATTTTAACACTACTCGTTAATAGAAAGACAGTTCTCAAGCATCTAATCATCTTCTGAAAAAGCCGTAAAAATCAAAAGCCAAATATAGCTAGCGGAGAAGTTTAAAAATTTTGCATTTGTGAAATAAGGTAAAACCTGGATCTTTTTTTGATATTTGAAGTTATATTTTCTTAATTGCTGATTCGTTGAATGAGATTTAACCCATTCTATGTCAAACGGTATCTTTTTCCTCTATTTTGATATAATTAATTCCTATACATGTATATTAATTTTATTTCTCTTAGTAAAGTTTAAAGGAAAAAGTAGCTCCTGGGACAAGTAATAACAATTTTTAGTTGGATAAATAATGACAATGTCAAAAAGCTTTTTTAATATTTGAATATAATTTTTCTAATTTATTTTGGGATAATGTGAGATTAGTTACAAGGCAAGATCCAGAATAAATGTGATTTTCAGTAAAAAATACTGGCAAATAATATTACTACTATTATTTATCAATAAATAAAAATTTACATATGGCAGAGTATAGAAATTAATATAAATTACCTTATTTAATCAAAATGTCAAAAGAAAGATCGATTAAGAGTAAAGAATTATGTATTTTGTAATTGTCCCATAAGGTGCAGTCATTATTTATCCATAGGATGGGGAAAATAATGACAAATGTAGGTTTCAGTTTTTATGAAAATCTAGCTCGTATACATGACTTATAAAAACTCTAATTAAGTTTTTTGTATATTTGAAAAGTATTCTTTTAATGAAAAATTATATCTTATAAACTTGAAATTAGTTTGTACGGGAGAGAAGAAAAAATCCGTCATTATTTGCCCTCCCTCCTTCCCTTAGATGAAATCATCTTAATACAACAAAATCGATGATAAAAGTAATATCGCAAGGAAATAAAAAAAATTAAAGTTGCAATCTCTTTTTTTCTACTCTCAATCAAGAGCAAGATTGCGCAATGCCTCAGGATAGTCGAGATGAATGCGAAATTCTCGCGAATAATAGATGCTGTACGGCGCCAGCATAACTCAATATTGATAGGATAATTAACTGCTACTAATATCTTAGTTACCTCGTAGTTGCTCGGTCGGGACGCGTTAAAGTGAGAACTATTATCAAAGTCGGGGAATGCGAACGAATCCTTTCCCGATTACACTTACCTTTATTGCCGCCTGGTTATCGATTTTGCCATGTCAAAGGGTAAAATCGTAAAACTGTCCTTTCTGCAAAAAAAAAGATTTCCTTTTTTCTTTCTCATAGAAACTAACCCGTGCGCGAATATATGTATAAAACGCTTACCGCGCGTTTTTCTTCGTCCGACATATCTAATTCAAACATGAAATTTTTAATTTGTTATCGTCAATGAAGAATTAAATGCGATAGCTTATCGAAATAAATCCTAGGTGCTTATCGATATTTCTCCATGTCGCGAGACGACGGCGAGGTCACGATCCCGAGGATCAGCTTAGACAGAGAGAAAGTGACCGCTGAGAGAGTAAGGCGGTGAATCGAGAGAGCAAGAAAACTTTTTGAACTAGTATTCTTCGCGGATACGTAGATTTAGCGTAAGAATGTAGTAGACGAGCGCGAGGATGTAACGAGTAAGCTCGTTGAAACAAGTTCCGCTTTGTGAACTGACCTCGAAGACGGGTAGAACGTGAGAGCAAAGCCGCAGCTGAGAGTTCCTTTGGATAGTATCTCGGTTTGTATGCGTGTATGTTACATGGAGAGGAAAGGAGAGGGGAGAGAGAGAGAAAGAGAGAGAGAGAGAGAAGCTATGTCGCGTAAATTGGCGCACACGCTCACATTCATGGTTCGAGTCTCTCGAGTTACCAAAACTGGTCGACGTAACTATCTGCATATCTTGTTTGTACGATCAGCTATCCTTGAATTCGTATACCGTAGCCGTGGTAGTCGCACAACTATGTATTTTCGGGAGATTTATTTTATAAGGTTTACTTTCGACAGAGGGGAGTGCTTTAATTCTTTACAGAGAACTCGATTCTCTCAGCTCGCCAATCAAATTTGCCTGACACGGTTTTTTCCCCGATCTGACTGAAGAACTTTCCGCTCGCTTCGCATCGCTCCTTAATCGGGAAATGGAGTAATCGTAATGGAGTAATCCGACGTAATCGCCGACAGTTCTCTGTTGTTTCGAGCTCTGTTGTTGTTCGAAGCGAACGGAAAGAAAGGGGGCACGGGATCGCGATCGATCCCGTTTTTCCACGGACGCGGTAAAATGTTTCTCCCGTGTACGCAGGTGGTAGCACTTTCGAGAAGCACGACCACTACAACGGCTCGCTGCTGCATTTCTACCGTGTCGAGAGGCGGCAAATGGGGGCGTATCTCTGCATCGCCAGCAACGACGTGCCGCCAGCGGTTAGCAAACGGGTGACGCTCGCTGTGAATTGTAAGTCTCGTTTCGCTTGCACGATCCGTACCAATCCCGTTCCGATCCGATTTGCAGATTACGTCTCGCGAAAAGTAATTCGCTAATATTTTTCATGTAGTCAAGACGCGTAAATTATCGCGATTCGAAAGAGAAAACTGCCGACAGTCGAGGAAAGCTTCGAAAATAAGACATACTTTCGAAAAGAAGAAAATGAAAGAAAGGATGTTAAGTTTTAGCTGTTTTCCGACTGAACATGAAATGCCGATATGTACAAATTATGTACATTAAAGGCACATTAAAGGCCTGCTTAAAGCTGAATCGAATGATGTATATCGCTTATCTCTTGAGAAAACATCGAAAATATAAGAGAAATCATTATTAAAAACAATAATGCTATCACACTTATTGATAAAAAAATTATTAAGTAAAACATCAGGATTTAACACATATCAGTATGTCTCTATGTCAACCGAAAAATAGCCAAACTTGACATCTTTCCTTGATTTTCCTATTTGAGAAGCAGTATTTTTAACGAAGCAGTAATTTTATAAAGATTGATTACTGTTTAATTCCCCGTACAATTTCTCCCTTATTGTTTTACTCCCCAATTACAATTTGCAAAATAGGTTCAAGAATATTTTGTCCTGGATGTAATATTAGTTTCATAAGCTATTTTGCGTTGTGAGAACTCGCGCGCGTCCGCGCTTCAATTACGCGACAGGACAAAAGCGAAGAAGAAAGCTCTCGTAAAGAAAGCTTGATTTCGACGTACGCGTTCATCAGAGGAGAATCAAATTTTCATTTCCTTCTTAAAACGAGCTCTATCTTTGAGACTTTCCTCATACATTTGAGAGAAGGCTTCTCCTCGCGTTTTCTAGACTCATTTTATTTCCATAGTCGCACCTGTCGTAAAAGCACCCAACCAGCTATTGGGCGCTCCTCTGGGTACAGACGTGCAGCTCGAGTGCTATGTCGAAGCGTTTCCGAACACGATCAATTATTGGGTAAAGAATCAACGAGGCACGGAAGACGAAATGTTATTGGAAGGGTAAGTTTCTCGTTCGTTATTTTCTTAATACGAATAATCATTCGCCGTATGCTCAATACGACTCGAGATATAGAAGGAACGATATATAGTCCACGCAGCACGGAACGCATCAACGTTAGGATTTTATAAATCTCGGAGGTGATATCGCCAAGGTGTTGAATTATAAAATTCCAACAAGGTTGTTGAAATTTTATCCAACAAGACGATATTGCAGCAACGTTTTGAGTTAAAAATATTACATTGCGATAATTTAAATGTGATATCGAAACAATTTCGTTAAATGGCATTATGTAGCATTTTTCTGATTTCTGATTAAATTTGATTAATAAATTCATTATAAGTATTCCTTAACACTATAGTACAATTGTTACTAAATCAACACTAAACTCTCGTGACTCTCTAAATGTAACCGATGTAAAAGGTGAACATTGCAGCGATCTTCCAACAATGTTGCAGCAACCTGCGCAATAATATTTGCACGCGCGTCCTGCAGATATTTCACGATCTTCGCGTGTTATTTCCGCGATTTTTCTGTATTGTATGGGAAAATGACGCTAAAAGGCGCGCTCGCTCGGTAGAAATCTTTTATTTCTTGTCCAGCATTTTCCTTTTCATGCCGGAAACAAACGAATTCCAAGACTCACATATCGTTTTATATGATCCATAGACCGAAATATAGCGTGCGGGAGGAACGTACGGGATACACGGTCCTGATGTGGCTCTTAATCAAAAAATTTACGGATAGAGACGTCGGTAGTTACAAATGCGTTTCAACGAATAGCCTAGGAAAGGCGGACGGAACTTTGAGATTGTATGGTGAGTTGTACGCGGCCGAGTTACACGCTTTCGATTTTTATGTATTTTGAGATCTTCAAATCCACATTGGTCCACTTTCAGAAATTAAAATTGGCTTCGACAGAGGATCTCGAGCGAAGGATCACGTTTCTATTATCGGTGGTAAGTATATATATAAGACAGAATTGATAACGAATGAATAGTAAATCTGTTTTGTGTGTGTGTGTGTGTGTGTGTGTGTGTGTGTGTGTGTGTGCGTGTAGCGCGCGCGCGCGCATATGTGTAACGAGTAGATTTACTACTCACAGGCATTAATTTTAAAACGCCTGTCACGGGATGTAGAGAGGTCCTATAGTTCGAACCCTGGCAGGGGAGTATATTTTTCGTAATAAATTTTTTATAGTGTTAAAATCCCAGCAAACACAGATTATAACTACAATATTGCAGCAACATTGTAATATTTCTGCAATATAGCTGAAATATTACATTGTTGCTGCAACATTGCGATATAATCTGTTTATAGCATATAATGTTTATTAGCATCAATATTATTAAATTGCTGTCAATTTGTGATATTTTATCCTAGTTTTAGTTTAGAATTGTGTTTCAAGACCGAAAATTAAATCGATGCGTAGTTAATTATGGAACTGGATATGTATATAAATTCACAATGAAGTATATATTAAGCACAAAGATCCAGTTCAGAATAAAAAAGCAATTCCTTTCTCGTTGTGTTATTATCAATTCTATTGTCGCAATAAGATTCAGCGATCAGTAGTTTGGCCGATTTCTACTAGCGCAATCGATTCCGCTATTGATTTTGCAGTTTTTTTTCTCAATGAAAAGGTGTGATTTTTTTTCTAGGTTTAGCCGAGGCTGCTCAAAGTTCCGGCGCCAGCAGCGGCGTCGGCGGTTTCTCCGGAAGTAGCAGCTTGTCGCACATCCTATCGATGTTTTTCTTCATACCGATACTATGGCCACGGTGAAGAAGGCATCCACTACTGGTCACCGCTAAGCTACTTAGTGCCGGATGACTTTGTGCCAAAAAAAAAAGACAAGAATGTAGAGAGAATGCGCGGAGTGCGAGAGATAGTATGGTAGAGGACGTATGAAAGCGATCAACAAGAGCATGCTCAAGAAAAAAAGAGAGATAAAAAAAGAAAAAAAGAGAAAGAAAGAGAGAGAGAAAATGACAGAAAGAAAGAGAGAGAGAGAATGAGAATAAGATAATAAATCGGAGTCTTCGGTACTCCAAATTCTTCCTACTTTCCTTTCCTACTCCCGAGTGTCGAAGACATTTTTAGATCAATGAATGTTGTCAATGTACGCGTCGCTTTAGATTCGCGCTTCGCGGATCGGCCGAGCAAAGCTCGATTTGCGCTGTTTGTTTCATACGGCATCGTCGGACAAACGGAAATCGGCACTGAACTAAAACTGCTACATCAATTGTAACTCGTTTTAATATACTTTACACTCGAAATATATTTGACGGAGATATTACATACGATCGATGCGGATAGCGTGAACCGTGCCCGAAATACACCGATACGCGAATTGACGAATTCGAAAGGAAGGGGGGATTTGCCATCGCGGGGATGCTTTATGAATTGATAATAATCAACGGTCGTTTTGTCATTAATTTATCGCGCTGCTGACTGACTTTGAACGTCGGAAAACTTTGATGTTTCGAAATAAAAATAAGGATCGAACGTTGTATCTTGTTGTCCCGTGTTTTGTCATTTCTGCCTGCTTGCTGCTAGTGCTATAATTTATTTTTATTATATATTCTTATTATTTACTTTTTCATCTCGCTTGTTCAACAAAACTTATATAGTAAAATGTCAAATAAAAAGGTAAGTATTTCTACATCATAATTATGTAAATGCAAAAGAAATTTACGAGTGTATAGTCTCTTTACAACAAATTTATTTGATTCTCGTTATATATAAAATAGAATTATTGATATCGTATATAGTATATATTTAAGAGCATGATCTTGAAATTATTGTAATACTAACGTATTTTAGAAGATTAGGTAAATTTATTTTCTAATTTAAATCTATTTTTTAAATAAATGTTTGTTCATAAACGAACCAATTATCGTTTACATCATTAATTTTGTTTTGTCTAAATAAATTTTCAAATTTTTATAGAGTAACATTATGTTTCCATGTCGTCCACTAGACGACGCCACCTTCCAATCTACGAAGGTTCTTTAATCCTCCGTGCACTAGGTGGGGTATAACATACCCCAGTAAAATTTAAACTGCTTAAATTTAGTTTGTAAGAAATAGTATTATTTTTGTTTTCTTGTTTTAAAAGATTAAAGAATTTATTATTTTGTTTTATTTTTATATCTTATAAAAACAAAACAAAAGGTTACAAAGGTCCTTATAAGGTTGCAGTTGTAAAGATTTCTTCGAAATGACAGAACAGAATTAAAAGCCCTTTTACAGGATTAAAATAGACATAAAATGCATTAAGATGACGAAAGATTTGTAGTCAAAACGAAAAAAAATTAAAAAATTACATTTTTTCGGACCGTACAGATATGTCATTTGACATAAACATATTATATTTTCATTAGTGTAGAAGTTCTGTAGCTCATATGTATAAAATGCTTACGTCCCCCGAATCGGATTACATGAACAACTAATACAAAGCCTTTTGAGCTACGATTGAAAGTCTAAGAAAAAAGAAATGTTTATGGCTGCAATTTATGGTAATTCGTACGTTTAGCTAAGGTAAAGATAGCAAAAATGCATCTAGTAGTAAGTGCACATTTTGCAACAGATGGTACTTCAATAAGTTAGATAAGAACATTGCACGTTTGAGTGAGACAAAAGATATTGTAAGAAGTTCATTTAGAGATACCACTGAAACTGAAGAGTTTGTTTTAAAACAGACTTTTCAATGGTATATCTTTAAATTAATGAACTTCTTACAATATCGTTAATTCTGACTCACTCAATAAACAAGTACATTGTCTAAAACCCTAGGCTTATTAGTAAAAACACAGTACTATATTCTTTCTATGTAATTTCGATCGCAATTTACATTCGTTTCATGCGTATATACAAAGTCAAACTTTTATATATGTAACACATATATATGTTAATATTGTCATGAGTCAACTGCAGAAGTCGATAATTTTTTAATTCTTTTTTGTTTTTTATCGCAGTCTGTTAATTATTGTCGATACTTTAAATTTGAATCTGGGAAAAAAATTATAATTCTGTGAAATCAATAAGAAAATTGATTAATCCATAAATAATCGATAAAACAGATTTATCTTCAATCACCTTATGCATCACACTTATTATTAATTATAGCAATTGACGTATGCCAGTATGCGTTTGTGTTTGCATCTCTGGACCAATCAGTTAAAGGAGCTATTGACCAACAGTTGTCAAGTTCGCTAGTGAGATAGGACCCGCCTGTTTTATCAAAACACAATAATAATTTTTGTGCTAAATTTCTATTATATATATAGGTATATGTATTACTTTAATAGATTTGAAAAGCCATTAATACGTATCAGAGTATGCCGAGAACAAAAAAAAATTAATTGCTTTAAAGCGATGCTGGATCGAGGTCCGGATCGATGGTCGGACTTCATATAATATCGCGCGTGCATGCACATACATATACACGCGCGTTATAACTTATGTACACTCGCTCACTAAAAGGTTGCGACACTTTTTTTTATAGGTTTCTAATTTATATTTAATATACGTAATATATACTTTATAGATAACTAATATTTTGCAAATGCAAACCACGATGTACTATCTTTAGTCTAGAGGTAGTATAACACCAATCGTGGTCCGCATTTGCAAAATATTAGTGCGTTTTCAAACCTATAAAAAAGAAAGTGTCGCAACCTTTTAGTGAGCGAGTGTACATGCTTCTCGAAAATTAAGTATTTAATTTTACAAACTCCATATATATTATTTCTTCATGTAATCCACTAGTCTAGCCACCGTAATTTCATAAGTACGAGTTGTAGAGCTTTCATTGTATATGAAGCACATGTTGTCTCGACGGCTCCTGCAGACGCCACATATATAGAACTAAGAAATGGTAAAGGAAAATGAATTTTAAAAATTTTGGAATTTGAACTTCAGTTTAGGATCGTCAAATTAAGTATATATAACATATATACTTCATGAGACATTTGCGATACTCCTTTATTATAATTAATTCGAATTTGATCTGTTGCGACATGTTGAGCGATTAACTATAATTCAAAACATATCGAAACGCAATTTTTGAAGTATCGAAACAATCGAATCGAGCCAATCATTTGCCGGTAATAATAGTTTCATATTTCACGAATCAGAGTGTTCTTAGGACTTATATAGGCCTGATTGCACCATTTTGATTGCTTTAATTTTAAGTGTGGCTTAAAACTTTGTCTTAATTTCTTTAAAAGACAGAGATTAAAATCAAAATAACGTGTCTTAGACAGGTAGATTTTTGCATGCGCATTTTAAATGCGACTTCAGTAAAGTGCACATTAATAATAAAAAAGGGTTCATCAATCGTCGATTAATTACTTATACAAAATTTTTTTTAATTTTTGAGAAGTTTGATACATTTTATATATTTTATACACATATACACAAATAAATAAATATAATATATAATTTAATATATATATATTATTTTATTATTTAATATATAAATATTATTTAATAATCTGCATTTAATAATAAAATACAATATCTGATGATTTTATTACATGCAATACAAATTGCTTTATCTTTTAGATGTAACTCTAATTTATACATATATAGCCTTAAAAATATTTTTATCATGAATAAGGTTGAAATTCTTTCTTAATTTTCTTAATTTTATAATTTATAAATTTTGTAATTAGTTTTTTATATAAGATCTTTATTAAAATAAATAATGTAGTAAAACAATTTATCTTACAATCTATCTACACGTGCTGCTAAGCTTATTAAAATCTTTGTGCTCATTTTGTCCTACGTTACTGCACATTTGCTGCTTCACTGTCGCGCATGCGCAACCAGCGCAACAGCTGTGAAGAATGTGTTGTGTATAATGGTATATACAACATACGATATATCGCGTTTCTAACCTCATTTTTTAGCAGATGACAAAATTTACGTTAATAATCAATCCGTATTGACGAGTGATTAGCAAATAATAAAAAGCGGTACGTATTTCCTTTTTTGCTCTAAAATTGTAAATCAATTAGTAGTTCATTTAATTGAATGTTCTTCGTCGTCGCCGAAAAGTTACAACTTAACCTATATATGTTTCAACAGTTTGTTGTCGGAATAATTCAATAAGCTTTAGTATACTATATGACTATTGGATATACTCCTATTGGATACTCCTATTGGAATAACTATAGACATTGTATAAGATCTATTCTTTATAGCTGAACTGACATATATATACTTGTACTACGGGAACAGAAATGCCTAGCCATCTAAACTTGTAAGAGTAGTATCAGGATATATTAAGACGTGTGTTTCTTTCTAAATATTCGTACATCATGACTGATGATTATTTAGGAAACATAGAAATACAGAGTCGAGAATGTGTTTCTCAACTGCTGTCTGGACTTGGCTCGACTTTTTCAATATAATATAAATGTAACACTGTCATGATGTCATGATCTATGAATATTTAGATTTTTGAAAGAAACGTTTTAAACATGCCCCCAATACCTCTGCAAGTTCAGATGGCTAAGCATTTCTTAAAAAGAAATAGCTACATATATTTGAAGTTTGGTGAAAGCGAGATAGAAAGTTACAGTGCAATCTAATGCAGCGATAATACAAGCCTAACTTCAAGGAGAGGTTGAAGAACATGTATATATTAATTACTACTTTATTTCGTAGTAATTTGCCAACCAGTAGGGTTTACTCCAAAATAAAGAAGAACCAATTTTAATTTTTCATATCTTTATATATTATGTTTAGAGATGAAAATGACTCAATCTGACGATAATTTATTTGGTAAATTACGGTAAATGATAAGATAATTTTGGGGACTTGGTAAAATGGTAATTTAAAAAAAACTAAAATAAAGTTTAAAAGAACCATTTAGCATTAAGAATGAATAAACACTTTATTTAATTATTTAATGTTTTACAGATCTGTAATAGATAAATCTTTATTTACTTTATATTATTACAGCTTAACTTATATTTATCATAATTTTG